GAATAAAATGAATCTAGCACGCTGTAAAACGTCATCAATGGTTACATTTTTATGATGGTTGAATAATAGTGATTATATTATATTATCTTCTTTATTATTATGCATAACTAATCTGTATAATATCTCTCTAACAGTGCTGATGGAAAATACGATCTTCCTCTCTCTAAGAATGTCCGACTCTCGTCCGATGGCATTATTAAAGTAGCGCCCCCAGCGGTGCTTGTTAGTCCATGTGTCATCAACATCAAGTATTTCCCGTTCGATGTACAGCGCTGTTCTTTGAAGATTGGCACATGGGAGTACAACGGTAACGAAACCCGTCTGACACCAATGCATGACGAGGTCGTCAAAGAGAATTACTTAGAGAACGTTGAATGGGAGATTGTTGGATCAGAAGTTGACGATTTGTTGGTGAAATACCCATGCTGCCCTTATATTTATAGTAATCTGGTATATACATTGATCGTTAGACGGAGACCACTCTACTACATCACAAACATTATTATACCATGTTTTTTCATGTCGTTCATTACACTTAGTGTGTTTTACCTTCCGCCTGACTCTGGTGAGAAAATTACGCTCAGTATTTCGATTCTATTGGCGCTCTCGGTTCTCAATTTATTAGTCGCCGATATAATGCCACCAACATCGGAAACGACGCCATTAATCACAAAGTATCTATTGTTCTGTATGACTATTGTTATGGCTTCTATTATTATTACCATTCTTGTTTTAAATGTCCACCACCGAGCAACCAGCACACACAACATGCCCATGTGGGTCAGAAAAATATTCATGCAAATACTGCCACGCTACCTGCACATGAAAGCCGCAAGGACGCCCTCACATGGTAGAAGGAAGAGGGAAAAGTCGGAAGCAGAAATGTCGGAATCGCACACCTGCGGCGAGATAAAAGAAACAGGTGTTGATAAATCAAGCGGTATTTGGATTGGTCATGGCTCCAGTAAGCTACAAAAAGACAAGCAGCCTATGGATACAAGTGTTACGTTTCTTTCCAACGGTGGCTTAAAAACAAGCAGCAGAAATCACTCTTCGCAAGTACCGCTTCTGAGCGCCACCCAGAATAAAAGAAGAACAGCGCGGACCTCAATGAGTCGGCCAATCTCTTGTCGTTGTGTGCAAGGGGAAATCTACGAAAAAGACACGTCTGTGGACGCTGAATCTGTGATATCTGAAAAAGATTGTTCGGCATATGCGTCGAATGAAGACGATAGAAAGAACGGCATGTTTCATAGAAAAATGCTGGAAAATGTCGAGTGCATCGTGGACTACGTTAAGCGAGAAAGAAACGAATATGACGTAAGTACCATGCCATTATCAACAATAACCATGTGACTCATCGGCTGTTACATAATTTATATAAGTTCTTTTTATTATGTAAAACGTAATCGACGAATTTGCAACAACTTAGGGAGTCTTAATGTTCGTTCTCGTTTGCACCATTATATTCTGTCGATAGATGGCGCTCTTCAATAAAAAGTATGACTTCTTGAAGCTCAGAGGATAGCTCATACGATAGTACAATGAAATATACTTTGTTTTGTTACAGGTGAGAGAAGAATGGAAATACGTTGCCATGGTTATCGACAGAATACTGCTGATACTATTCACTGTTGGGTTTCTCATTGGGAGTTTTGTTTTAATGTTAATAATATCAGGGGTTATGGGAGTGCCATAACTGTACAATGGGTTGAGGGCGTCTTAAATGTACGAGGTGTGTCGACGATACGTGGGAGTGCCATAACTGTACAATGGGTTGAGGGCGTCTTAACTGTACGAGGTGTGTCGAATGCCATAACTGTACAATGGGTTGAGAGCGTCTTAACTGTACGAGGTGTGTCGACGATACGTGGGAGTGCATATGTTAATTATGTACGTAATTATTTAAACTTAGCTAGCATTTTATACTGTGACAATACTATGCCAGCTTGTTTGAACGGAGAGCTTCCACGGAATAAAGTCCCATTTATATGTAAGGCTTCATAGTTCGGGGAAAGTAGAAGGCAGTTATTTTCCGCAAATGTACGCTTTGTAACGTTTGTGTGGCGTTGCCAACTCCGGAAACTTATGTAAAAGTTTGGTACTCACTAATATGGACTTTCAGGTGTACCTTCAGTCTGGTTATTTTCAACGTAAATTACCATCCACTTCGAATTAAGTAAGATGACAACCAGCATATATAATATCTATGCGATTTTTTTTTTTTTTAAGAGAAGGTTAATATATGTTGACATATTTTATCATTGAAATAGAAATCACGTTTCTGACAAAACTATTGTACCTACTCGCGTGTTATTTACATGGCTGTTTACCCAGGTTTAATGAGGCGAGACAATTGTGTTGCACAACCTACACCCAATCTCACTCCCCAGTCTGTCGTTTTTTTATGGAAACAGTTTTTAATTCGATTCACACGATACGCAAAGACTAGACTAGATTTTAAAATTTGGTACAATGGTTATATGTTTCTGCTCTTCAGTTGCTACGTCATCATTACCATACCAGTAATACGTAGGTGTATTAGCGCTGTGAATGCAATTACACGACAGAAAAACTCAACTGCTAAACATCAAGCGTACATCAACAGTTAGCCAGTTAGCGTTTTAGTTAGACGAAACATCAAGCGTACATCAACATTTAGCCAATTAGCGTTTTAGTTGGACAAAACATCAAGTGTACATCAACAGTTAGCCAGTTAGCGTTTTAGTTAGACAAAACATCAAGTGTACATCAACAGTTAGCCAGTTAGCGTTTTAGTTAGACGAAACATCAAGCGTACATCAACATTTAGCCAATTAGCGTTTTAGTTGGACAAAACATCAAGCGTACATCAACATTTAGCCAATTAGCGTTTCAGTTAGACAAGATATCAAGTGTACATCAACAGTTAGCCAGTTAGTGTTTTAGTTGGACAAAACATCAAGCGTACATCAACATTTAGCCAATTAGCGTTTTAGTTAGACAAGATATCAAGTGTACATCAACAGTTAGCCAGTTAGCGTTTTAGTTAGACAAAACATCAAGCGTACATCAACAGTTAGCCAGTTAGCGTTTTAGTTAGACAAAACATCAAGTGTACATCAACAGTTAGCCAGTTAGCGTTTTAGTTAGACAAAACATCAAGTGTACATCAACAGTTAGCCAGTTAG